GCAGGACAGGATTCTGTTGCCAGCCTTGCCAGTAGGAGTTGTGTTGATGGGGCACCTCACTCAAAACTAATGAGAGACAAGGTGCCAATTCCAGAAGTTCTCTTAGATTCGTATTTCATTGCACAGTGATCTAAACATTTTCACTCTACCAACTGCCTCTATTCAGGCTGACTGGCAGTTTCATAGATGGACAGCTCAGTATCCTATCTTTTTCTTGAAAACAAAAAGCACATGCCAAAATATTCCACTGACTATAACTCATAACCTGTGACTGCATGTGTCTAAAATCACAGAGGATATCTTTCTTAGTTTTTATGAATGTAGTAGGCTTAATTACTTCCATCTAGGTGGGAGCAGCTCATGAATTCTGAACTTTTCAGACTATCAACAGCTATACTATACACTTTTTCTTTTCTTTTTAATTAACTATTTTAGTGCTATGGCTGAACATGGTAAGCACATATATTACAACTTAGCTACACCTCCACCTTCAAATGTTAAAACTTGGGAGATCTCAATTTTAAGAGATTTCTACAAACATCATAAGTCTTTTTTGGTGTCTTTCTGATTTCTATACATACCAAAAAGCCTCCTCAAAAAACAAATGAAAACCAAACACTGACGATGATCAGAATAAGGCTGCAGGTCAGGGCTAGACAGTACTCATTCAACCTAATGCAAACTAAGGTGAGCACTTCATGCAAAGTAGCTTGTTTCCTCTGAAATCCAACACTGAAAATCCTCCCTTTGGGAAGTTTCTTCTTCACATACAGTCTCTCTTCCAGTAAGATTACTCTCCTATTAGGCTGCACACAGGCTGTTTTTCTGTATTGATTTGCTTGTGTTGACACACTACTGTGAAAACTTTTATCCATAAAGGTAATGGATCTGGCCTCTTCCACCCCTGGGGCCTATTCGTCATACCCTGGTAGCCACTGTCACTCAACCTGCAGTGTAGCCAGCACCTGGCATTTAGGGAACAGGAAGCCATATACACACTCCTTCAGGGATTGGTGATAACAGAGTCCTAGGTGCTAGGATGCAAACCCAACTCCAGTTGACAAGGAGGATGTGAAGCCAAATAAATCTTAAAATGAACATTCTATGTATCTGGAGGTGTCTCTGTGATATCACAAACCACTGGATTCAGGTGCTGCTTTGATAGATTTAGGAAAATCAATTTAACCTCACATAGAGGCCTCTCCTCTGTTCTGTAACGACAACAAAGGGAGGACAATGTGGTTTCTGTCTGTCCTGCTGCACAATTCCATATCTACAGGAGGCCACTGGGCAGTTGGTATCTCAATATGGGAATCAGAGGGATCCAGAGAGAAACAAAGAGCTTTCAGTCACATCTATAATCCAAGAGTTCTGGGAGGCTAAGGCTGCAAGTTTGAGCCCAGCTGGGACAATTTAGTGACTTGGTAAGACCTCAGGTCAAAATAAAAAAATGGGCTGAGGATGTAGCTCAGCAAGAAGGTTCTGAGTTCAACCCCTAGTACTGAAAGAAAGAAAACAAAAGAGGTTTCAGTCATCAGAAAGCAATATTCACGATTCAAAGTGTGAAAAACATTTGCAGACACATTATTTTTCAATAGATCCATATTGATTAGAAGATAAAGAAGCCAGATCTATTGGGAGGATAAGGGTTTAAGACAGTATGTCATTATTTTATATTTACTATTTCCTCAATTAGCTTTGTAATATCACATGGGGAAGGCTGGGTCTGAAAAAAGAGGGAGGAGAGGAGATGAATGTCTACATCATCGTCAAATAAGAGCTTTACCATGAAGCTGTCAGATGCTGTGCACTGCTGTGGCCTCTGTGGTATATTGTGGTCGCAGTTCTACTCTCTGTTTGCTCCCTCCTAGTTCACTCTGCTGGGTTCTTCTCTACCTGGACCACAAACTCCAGAGGCTTGTTCCTTGTTTCTCATCTCTCTATGCCTGTGCTTTGATTTGAGTTTGCTCTTCAAATGTTCATGTAGTGGAAGCTTGGGCCCCAATGTGGTGGTGCTGAGGTGATGGAACCTTTAAGGCATGAGGCCCAGGGGGAGGTGATTAGGTCATTATGCTGTCACCCTTGGAAGAGATTAGTTTAGTTCTTATGGAACTTGATTAGTTCCTGAAAGAGTTATAAAAAGATTAAGGCTGGTCTTGACTCTAATTTCCTGTTGTGTCTTGTGATTTCTTGTGCATATCCCAGCCTCTATGAGTTCCTCACCAGAGGCCAAGCTGCCTGACCTTGGACTTTCAGCCTTTAAAACTGTGAGCTAAGTAAACTTCATTATGAAGTATCTAGCCTCACATAGTCTGTTACAGAAACAAAAACTGGCTGCTGTACTATAGCTTCTCTAAGGTTGCAGATACTGTGTGATTTTCAGTCACACGATTTTAAATACCATCTGTATGTGTTCTGTCCAACATAGTACCCAAGGCTATTTAAATTGAAATCAGTTAAAATGAAGACTTCAGTTCGTCAGTCATACTAGCCATATTTCATGTGCTCAATTTCCCACTTGGCTGGTGGCCACCATATTGGACAATACAGATAGAGAACATTACCATCATCTCAGGAAGTTCTACTGTGGCAGCATTCATCTGTTTTTATTTATTTATTTTTCAGAAGCTTTTTCTTTTTAAATCTTTTATTTATTTGGTACAGGGTTTTGCTATACAGCTCAGACTCGTAGTGGTCCTCCTGTCTCAGCCTCCCGTGTGCTGGGATTATAGGCGTGCGCCACCAAGTCTGGTTTCGGTGGCTGGCACAGTATGCCTGGACTTCCTTGTTCTTGCCAGGCAGGTGCTTAGACCACTGAGCTATCTCCCCACCCCTCATCTGTTATTTATTTATTTTTTGAACTCTTCACGAATTTGTGTGTCATCCTTGCGCAGGGGCCATGCTAATCTTCTCTGTATTGTTCCAATTTTAGTGTACGTGCTCCTGAAGCGAGCACCCTCATCTGTTATTGATGACTGTCCAAACTGTATTTCCCACTTGGGCTCCCATCTGAACTTGCTATCTAGTTACTTGCTTGACATTACAACCTGCATATTTCATGTATTTCAGACTTAATATGATTTGCAACACAACGTTTTCCCCTTAAAATGTTTAATAACCCCTCCAGACTGCTTCATAGACTGCAAAATACCCAACATAAATGTGCTTTAAATATTTAATACACTCTGTGGTGGTTAATTTTATGTGTCATCTTGTCTGTACTGGTATCCAGACATTTGGCTAAACATTATTCGAGATATTTCTGCAAAAGAGATTTAAATTGGGGAGAGAGCTTAGCGGCATAAGCGTCTGCCTGGCAAGCTCAAGGTCCTGAGTTCAATCCCTGGTCAAAAAACCCCACAAAAGAACAAAAACAACTAAAAGAGATTTAAAAGGTGAGTAACATTTAAATCAGCAAATTCTAGGTAAAGCAAATGACCTTATATAATGTGGATGAGTCTAATTTAAGCAGTTGAAGACCTTCTTTGAAAAAGATTAACTTCTTCCAAAACGAAGGAAATCTACCTAGATGGCATGCAGCTTGAAATCAACTCTTCTCTGAGTCAATCTGCCAGACTACCTCCCTATGGATTTTGGACTTCCCAGCTTCTATAACTGTTGAGCCAAGTCCTTAAAATTTCACCTCTCCCCTCCCACAAACACCCAAAGGTTGTGTTTCTCTGAAAAACCTCGATTAACATTTTAACAATTTGAATCACTTTGTTCATTTATTATCATTGCTATGATCATTCTCTTTATCGTTTAATAATAAAGGTAATGACTTTATTTAAATCTTGATGTGGGATAATCAAAATAGAATTTGCTGTAGCCACCCTTGAAAATGGTCCTGTCAAATCAGACATCTGAAAGTGCTTGTACCACCATGCCCAGTTTTGTTGGCTGGCAAGGGGCACCCAGGGTTCCAGGGCCAGCATGGCATGCCACTGTAGCAGGAATCAAACCCAGGTCCTAGGGTTTGCCAAGCAGGCATTTAGATGTCCAAGCTATCTCCCTAGTCCCTGGTCTTAAAGTTATGATGCTACTGTCTCAACTCCCAGAGTGATGGAATTATAGCTGTGCACTATCATACCTGGCTTGTCAACTTCGTTAACAGTGATTTCAGTAAAACTACAAGTCAAAAGGTTCTGTGAATATGATATACATTACATTAAGTCACATACATTTATTTAATGTTTAACATCGTGAAGTCTTTAATATGCAACTAAAAATGTGATATGCAATTTTCCGTATTTGAGCAGGGAATCATTTTGATGGTACTTTGAAATAGAATTAGTTTTTCTTTTTGTTTTTGTGGTGGTAGGGAATCAAACCCAGGCCTTATTTATGCTACACAAACATTCTGCCACTGAGCTACACCCCCAGCTCTGGAATTGCCTTTGAAAAGTCTGGCCAAGGTTTTTGAAACCATGAAGATCAAACTCCATCAGGGATTTCTCTGGAAAGTGGGTGACAAGAACTTCTTAGTAGCACAGTAAAGCTTTCACTGTGTTTTCCTAGGTAACAAAGGATATTTATTGAGAAGGAAAGCTGAGAAATATTTGTTGAGGATGGCACTCTATGCTGCAGTCACACAGTCAGTGGTTATTGTGCTGGTATTAATGGTCTAGTGCTGGGGCCAGCAAAATAGCTCAGTGCACTAAAGTGGACTTAGGCAAGCTCAAGCAAGTGCAGGGACCCTGGTTCAATTCCCAGCACCACATGCCACACCAGTGCCACCTCCAGGGCAGGCTGACCAGCCACAGAGTCTGGCCATAGTGGAGTATGCCTGTAATCCCACTGCCGGGGAGGCTTTGAAGACAGGAGGATCACTATGAGTCCAAGCTGAGTTATGTGACCGTGTAACAACCAAATAAATTAAAAAAAAAAAATCGTCTAATGCCTATTCTAGCTCTATAAATGCCACCCCTACTGGGGTTTATCAAGAGAATTAGGAATTCCCCTTTGATTTCTAGAGAAGAACAAAGACAGCTGTGACTTACTTTCTCTTGACTGTTCAACTCCTGGTACGGGATATGGGCAGGCAGGTAGGTGTGAAGCAGAGCGCAGAAGGCCAGGCCATCACTCCAGCTACTGCTAAAATTGGTGATGTCAATGTTCTGAGGGGTAAGAAAAAGTGGTATGAAATTCTCAAATTGTGCAATGTCTCAGAACACAAAGACGACTGTGTTTAGACAGGTATGGGTTTTTGATTCAGCAACTTCAGTTACATATATAAACTACTCAAATCTGCTGGGAGTACATTTAATTTTGATACTAAGAATAGACTGGTGTTCGAATCTGTGCATAAGGTAGCATTAAGAATCGTGTTAGCACCTCAAACAGTAGGGAATTCCTGTCCACCCCCTCCCTGGGTGACCCCCTAAAGGATGAAATATCTCACTCCAAATTAATCCCACTGATTAGCTTTGCATATCCCAACATATCCTCAGATTCAACTGGTCAAGGAAAAATCAACATTACTACTGTCATCATAACTGCCAGCACCACCATAATCATATAGAATCTAATCAATAAGTAGACCAAGATTAAACAAGAGCATCAATCTCTTAAGGCTTGCTTTTGCTTCTACTATCCCTATCTCAACTGAGAGGCTCCAATATGCTGGCCCTGTCCCTGGGGCAGGCTGAGATGGCAACTGAGACTGGGCATGGTGGCTTGTGCCTGTAATCCCAGCACTTAAGAGGCTGAGAACAGGAGATCACTATGAGTTTGATCTGTGTAGTGAGATCCTATAGATCTTGTACTAAATACATTTTTTTAAAAAAGTTAGAAAGGAAGGGAGAAGCCAAATGCAGCATAAAGTCTGGTTGGAATAGGAAAAGAGGATTATGGAATTTATCTCAACGTGTGTATATTAGCAGTTTTGAAGAATATACTAGGTAGAACTGTATAATGAAATTAGAGTATAAATTTCTTTAGGTGGCTTCCTTAGCTTCCCAATTTAGAGAGCAAACTCCCTATGTATTTATTTATTTGGCACAGGGTCTCACTACACAGTTTAGACTCATAGTGATCCTCCTGCCTCAGCCTCCTCAGTGCTGGCATCACAGGTGTGTGCTACTATGCCTGGTTTCGGGGCTGGCATGGTGTGCCTGGGTCTCTGGGATGGCACAACCCAGGTCCTTGCCAGACGAGTACTTAAGACCACTGATCTATCTCCCCAGCCCCTCCCTATGACTTTATTTGGAATTTTTATCAAGATTCCTCCCTCCCCACCCCCAGTATTAATTCAAGCTAACCTGGCTCATAGCAATGAAGCCAGTCAAGTACCTCTCTTAAAAGATAAATTAAGGCTGAAAGAAGTGGAATATACATCATGCATAAGGCTTAACTGAATGGTGGAGACACCAGGAGTCCACATCCCCACCTTTCTATAAAACCTCCTCTGGTTTTCAGCCAGAGTGTAGGATGATTCTGATGGGCCCCAGAGATTTCTCCCAAAACACAGGCTGTCAGATGTGTTCTTGAATCTACTTTGCAATTACATTCATTCATAGAAGGCAATTTGGCTGAAAGCAACACACCAATATAATAATGCCTCCTCATTCTGCTGAACACGACTCCAGTACAACTGAGTGGTGATAACTGCTAAGTAGCCATATTACATAAAAGCCCGAGAAAGTCCTTACTGCAAGAGGCCCCTTCTGGTTTTCAGGTCAACAGTATAATAGCTAGGACCACTGGGAAGCTAGTCATTTGGATTTTTAGCTTCCAAACCCTTTTGGGTTCAGCAGCTATCTGATAAGGCCTGGATACTGCTGTAGAGAAAGGACACCCTTTGCTTTTATACTTTCTGAAGAGGTTTGTATATTAAAAAAACAAAAACAAAACAAAACAAAAAAAAAACAAAAAAAAAAAAACCAGAGGAAAGAAACAGGTGAAAGGCCATGACCTATCTAGCTCACTTAACCAAACTCTGGGAAGAGAAGCACAGGGAAAAGGAGAAAGCCAGCCTTGGGGAAAGGAGAAAGCCAGCCTTGGGGAATGCACAGCGTTACAGTGCATATTAAATCTAATTCCCTTCTTTCCTTTCTTTACCACACACAGGCTGCCATTATCAAACTCATCTCTCACATGAATGTGATGTGGAGGAGTAAAAGCTAGGTTTTATTTTCAGAGGTCACTGATTTTTGTGTATTATGATGACTCCTATGGCATCTTTGTCAATGGGGGCAAGCACAGCAGCATGCCTAAAAGCATTTCTTTCACAAAAAAACACCAATGTCTATAATCTCATCTTAAACAAAAGGCTGTATTTTAAGCAGGAAGTTAAATGTTCACTAATCAAGACAAGAGTCCCTTAAGTATGAGTATTAGGTCTCAAGCTTCAAAAATGGTGGTGGTGCTAAGATCACTGACATTTGCTGAGTGTCTCTGATGTGCCTATCACTGTGCACGTTATCACTTGATTCTTTAGAACTTCTAACCATTTATAGATAAGACAGCTGCAACAAAAAGAAAAAAATGCTAGTGTAGTGGTCAGGACTACAACACCAGTTCTGGATGATCTCAAAGCACTTATGCTACATTTGCCATGAGATATAGCCACACAGGAAAGGAAGAAGTGATTGAGGGCACAAGGCAGATTCACACGCGCACAGCATTCAACACTACCTACTATATGGAAGCAGCCCTGTATCTAGGGAAGAGTGAACAAGAAGGCTGTGATGAAAGAAAACAGATTTGAAGGACTGGAATAGCACAGTTAGAAACAAGAGAGCTGAGGAAGTCACTTCCTTCCATCCATTAAACAGCACTGTAGGGCTGCTCCTCCTTCTATCGTCCTAGGAGAGGTAGAAAATAAAATATCTCAGGAGATAGCTGATGCTCTAGGCAAGAGCACTTGTATTACACATCCTAAACTTCAGTCACCTTCACTTTACCAGGAGTTACATATCACACATAGTGAATTCTGTGACAAGCATGTGTGGTGAGGGCCCCTGAGATGGCCCAGCACCCCGCCAATCATTTCTGTTGATCACATCTAGAGACTCTGGGGAGGTACTGGGGCTAAGGTGCATATCCTTTAAATTCTAAAAGCCTGATTTATTTGGGGGTGTTGTTGATTCTGTATGCTATGATCGATGTGCAGGCTTCTGCTTTTCTGTTAACCAGCCATCATTTTTCAGTTTGTGCATTATCTTTTGTTAGCACAGATGTGCCATGAGCACAACTTCCTGTGATCTTCAATAAATGTACTTGCTACTGGGTGTACACTTGGCAATTCTCTGCTCATCATACACAAAAACCTGGACTATACCCACCCATTACATGGTAACACTAGGGTGGAACTCTGACTTTTTTTTTTTTTTTTTTTAATTTTAGGACAGGGTCTAAGGGTCTCACAGTGTAGATCAGACTCAGTGATCCTCCTGTTTACAGCCTCCCAAGTGCTGGGACTACAGGCCTGCACCACCACACCCAGTCTCAATCCCCATCTCCGTGTGCCCCAGGGGCAGGGCCAGCATGGCAGGCCTGGGGATCAAATTCCTGGCCCTTGTGTCTGCCTAAGCAGGTGCTTTACTCTGTTGAGCTATTTGGCCAGCTCTCTGACTTTCACTTTGTGAGTAAAACCAGAACCATGTTTTCTGTGGTTGGTCACTGACCACCAGGAACAATGTCTGGGGAAGATGGTATCACTCTCCTAGCATAGGTGACTTACTGTTCTAAGGAACCCATGTGTCTAAGCAGGCAGATTCTTACCCCACCTTCCCTTACTGTCCAAATTTGCTTTATACCTAAAGCTTTTAAGACTTGCTAAATGTTATCCTCCCAAAACAAAACTGAATATACACATAACTTGTGCCATTTATAATACTATTAAAAATAGGGGGGTATTTATCTGGACAGAGCATTTATACTAGGTCCCAGCATACCACATCATTCACACTAAATGCTCCATTATCAAACTGAAACATTAAGAACAGATTCCAAGATAGACTAGTTTTCTCAGAAAACTGGATTCCGGTTTACCTGAGTTAGCATAACGAAGTCTTTGCTTTTAGACTTACAAAATAATAACTTGAAATCATTCATATTAACCACTGAGTTTTGTTTTGTTTTTTTAATATATTTGGTACAGGGTCTCACTACGCAGCTTGGAATCATAGTGATCTTCCTGTTTTGTTTTGAGCCTCCCCAGCACTGGAATTACAGGCATGCACCACCATGTCTGGACTGGGTGGCCAGCTCAGCGTGCCCAGGGACAGGGCTGGTGTGGCATGTGTTGCTGGGGTGCCCTGGCCCCTGCGCTTGCCTAAGCAGTCATTTAAAAAGTCTGCTGAGCTATCTCATCAGCCCCAACCACTGAGACTTGTTTTGTCTGTCTATCTACACTGTTTTGTTTCCTTGTTTCCACTTTACAAAACTCATGTTCTGTCAATGGGGACTCTATTTTGTATCATGGAGGCTGTCTTGATTCTCAAATCAGAAGCAAAAGTCAGTAAGACCTATAGCTATACTTATGATTTTGTCTTCCGAACCACAACAGTATGAAACATCTTTCTTCAATGGCACAATCTTCAGAAGCATTTTGAGAGGTCAAATGGATCTAAAGGTACAAGGAAGCTATCTTATCTCACAAAATTAAGAAAGTGGGGCTGGTGAGATGGCTCAGTGGTCTAAAGCACCTACTTAGAACAAGCTTAGCAAAGCACAGGGACCGCGGTTCAATCCCCCAGCACCACATGCCAGCCCGCCCTGACCCCTGGTGGGCTGAGCTGGCCACACATACACACAAATAAATAAAAATTAAAAAAAAAAAATCAAGAAAATGTTCAGTGCACTGGTTAACAGACTCTCATTTAGAAGTAGTTTTTTGTTTTGTTATTGGGTACTTGCCTAGTACACATGCACTTTACCACTCAGCTACACCACCAACCATTAAATTTTGAGACAGGCACTCACTAAATTGTCTAGATTTTACTCAAATCTACCACTCATGCTGCAACATCTTGAGTAGCTGGGACTACACCCATGTGTCACCATGCCTGGCCCATTTAAGAATAGTTCTTGATAAATAACTACAAAAGAATAATACAATAGTTTGAAACCAGACGTGGTAGCGCATGCCTGTACTCCCAGCACTGGGGAGACT